AAGTTTGAGGTGATTTTCCAAGTTGACTGTTTCATCTTGCAGATGTATGGTAATGATATTATTTTGAAGTTGGTACACTCCAGATACTTGTTTATCGCTTTATAAAGCATAAGATGTTTATGAAACTTTTCATTCGTACAAATTTCATTCCATTCATTCTTTTATTTTACTTGCTTTTTGATTGAATCACTTTAGTTCCCCCTTTATCCCCAAATGTGAGGAAACTTTCCATTGTTCATATATGCTGGAGGCTAACATTCTTCTTTTAACTGGATTTCATTATGTTTAATATTTTGTCTGTGTTGATTGTATGAAAGCATGAAAACGGTCAAGGCATTTTGTTTGATTTTTAGCACAACTACCTAACTAAATAGTTAATTCACCTTGTGAGTGTGTGAACTTTTGTTAACCCCTTTTGAGCCTTTTTGTCAATTTCTGTGTTGTTTTTGAACTTGATGCTTGTCTATTAGTGTTTAGTTCACCTTTTTGAATGAATGTGGATTCTTTGTTTTCTTGAACCCTCAATCATGATTTATGGTTTGAATTTTTGCTTTGCCTTAGAAAGTAAGGAGTATTTACACTTTGATGTTGGTTGAATTTAAGTTTGGGAAAGGAATGTTTGCTTATTTATATTGTGATTGCTATGAGGTTGTGAAATAAAAAAAGAAGGAAAAAATTTGTGAAAAAGAAAGAAAGAAAAAAAAAAGATAAAAGTTTTGAAAAAAGAAGAACAAAAAGCGTATCAAATAGAATAATATTGTGTTGAATAAATATTGTGTTTGGTGTGACAATTTAGGAAAGAAGAAGAAGAAGTTTGATTGAAATTTTTATGCTTGAATGTTTGTGAATTAATCACTCCCTTAGGTTTATGTACGTTTTTGTTTCAATTACCTTTAGATTCTGCCCCTTGTTTGTTAACCAAACAACATTACAACCTTGAAAAACTCTTATTATTCTTTCCTTTGTACTTTCAGTACGAGTTTTTAGATGATTGCGTAATTTAATCTTTTGTTTGCAAGATTGTTGGATGAGTGTCAAATCCTCACTTTTGTGGGTTTTCATCCCTTGACGAATTTATGTTAGGTGTGATTCATGATTGAACTTGCATTATTTTTGATTGTTTGACATGATTTTTGTACTTAGGATCCGTTTCGTTCTCATGTTGTCGTTGTAGGATAGTGGTAAGTTTACTTTGTGTGTACGTTTTTGTTGAACCATGCATTTGTTTTCCGTTTACAAAATATGTTGATTCACGATTCTTTGATTGTTACTTCTTTGTTCTTTAGGTTGTTTGACTTTGTTTGAGGACGAACAATATTTTAAGTTGGAGAAAGTTTGATAAGTGCAAAATAATAATTATATTTGTGTATATTTTAGTGACACTTATCGACTTATGTTGTTGTAATCATTTGAAGAAACCTCAACTGGTGTGTGTATTTGTACATATTGAGCATAGTCGCGTTTTTGTATAAATATTGCATCATTTGATAGTTTTCACCTCCTTTATAGGTATTCATTAATAATTGGAGCATTGAGTAATAAATGCCAAATGCTAAGCTTCAAAAATACATTTTTTAGAGATTCATCAAAGAATAAGGATCAAAATAAGGATGAGAAAAATCATAAATTTGATTGATATTTAGTCATTTTTAGTTAGTACATTGAATAAGCTTTCCAACGCTTCAAACCGTGCATAAATCAGAGTTACGGTTCCCAAGTTATGGCCAAAACAAAAGTTAATTTTTTCGAGACAGCAGGTTTGGCGCTAAGTGCCCTCTCTGCGAGTTTAACGCACCCAACGACTTTATAACTCATTAAATAGGTGAAAAAACACATTTTTAGGTTATAGATTGAGTATTTTTGAGTCCCAACACCATCAACTATATTTTTTGGTCTAAAGAAGGTCGAAAATAACACAAGGTCTTGCATATGGATGATTCAGATGTGGATTTCTCATCAACCTACGCCGACAACCCGTGAGATGTTTGGTTCATTTCTCTTTTTCTCTATGTATTTTATTTTTGTTGGGTTTTGTTTGTATTCTTACTTTGAACATATGTATATTTGTTGATTATGGTGTTGTATAAAACTTGCTTTACAAATTAATCTTGATGTCTTCTTTGATCTTTTTGCATTTATGTTTGGATTTGTGTTGTTGTAGAGATAGACATTACAAGTATTGATTAGGGATGAATAACTATTAGTTTCTATATTTTAGAGATGAATTTAGAGTTAATATTCACTTTGGATGCTAAAGCTTAATGCCTCCGTGTTGTTGTAACAATCAAGACATTGACGATAGAGTAATACAGTTGGTCTCATGACTTGGTGTTAGACATAACCTTAATTGTGGGTATATCTCATGGTATCCGTGGTGATTTTGACGAGTAGAGTACGTTGAGTACAACTGATCAATAAGTTTAAGTTTGTGACGAGTAGTATAAATTTATGCCGAATAGGTTTCTCTTCCAAAGAATGTATTTATTTTCTGTTAATAACTTTAATTTCCGCATTTACCACTTTAAACCCATTCAAACCCAAACTCAAGAACGCGAGAAATTTTCGAATGGCAATTCAGTAGCACTAATCCCTGTGGAGACAATATGATAAAACTAACTAAATACTTTCTTTTGCTTGCCGCTTTACCGCTTCTACACTTTTATAATAAAATCTGATTATTTATCACTCAGTTATTACGGAAACTGAAGGGATAAATTATTAAGTTTACACTTATAAAGAAATAAAAACACAAACTGCAATAGCTGAGATTCAAAGCGTGTCCTGAATTGTTTTTTCCATCGGTTATATTAAAAACTGAGAGAGTATGTTGTTTTTATTTTTTTAAAAATATAACATGGCACGCTTTTGTATTATACCTCGATCTTTTTGGATGAGGTGAAATATTTATGATGAAATGTATTATTTGTAGTAGTTTATCTTTCGGAAGTGCTTGAGTTTAGTTTTGATATGGTTGTGTGTTTAATGGACTAACTTCCGATCTCCATTCTTGATTGAAATTGTTGTTCATTTGAAAGTTATTATTTTGATATTGCCCAGGACCTTGTTGGTTTCCTACATAATTGACTTCTTCATCAGTTGGAGGATAAAAATCTAGCAGAGTGATTGTCACTAGATAGCCCATAAAATGCAATATGCTTATACTTAGGCATCTCATGTATCCCTTTCAATTGTTGCATGAGCTTGGACAACTTCTTTTTATCTCATATGTTGTTTGTGTCAACAAATTGTTATGTGATAGAATTGCATCATTGGTATTCAATTCCATAATGACATTAATTCTTTGAGCATAGTTCCTATTGTACTGACCTTGGTGGTCACTGAGAGCCATTCTTTCAATTATTGGAATTTGTATCTTTAAGAATTTTTGAGATTAGAGAACTCCTAGTAGTAACATCTAGCAATAACTTAGGTTGTTATTGTAATCCATTTCTAAAGATATGTATTTGTGTGAGGTCATAAAAATCGTAGATTTGTATCTCTTTCCGCTTCACATAAAGTTTCTGTTGCACCTTGAGAGAACATAACAATTGATGTTTTGACTTCCATGAAATTGTTGTGAGAAAAGAACCTACCCAAGAACTTTTTCTCTACTATATTTCAGTTGGCCATCACTTGTGTTGGTTGATCAAGATATCATTCTTTAGCTTTTACAATCAATGCATATGGAAACAATATCATGAATACCATATTTTCCTTAGCTTATGGAGCTCTGAGTGTATTCGAAAACTCATAGAAATTTGTGAGACATGTATAAGGGTATTCATTATCTAGTCCTGCAAAATGATTATCATAAAGAATTTGCAATAAACATGTTTTCATCTCGGTATGGCGACAATTCCTTTGCGGTCCAGTTGTATAAGCTAGTCAACTCATAATATTGTGGCAAGACATGCCACCACTATTGTTGTTTCTAGTGTTTCCATTCTTATTGTTTTCATTACCAATGCATGCCATGGTTTTTGTTTATGAAATAAAGGACTCTTCTAGATTTTATCTTTTGGCTAGTGTTTTGTTCAAGAACCAGAATTGGTTGTAGTTGGTGAACCGAATATCTTGAACCAGTGGTGCTGATTTTAGATATAGTGGCACTGGGTGGACCTGCAGGGTTAACACTCCAAAGCCTAAGTCAGTCCAAGATTCAAGATAAGTATAGTTAAAAATAGATATCAAATAATGTACTTTACTTCATGTGCGAAATGACTTTTATAGGTTGGGTTAAGTGGAGTGGACTTAAGATGGATTGGGCATCAACTAATTGGGCCTTTGGTAGGACATAACAGTTTCACTCAAGGCTTTTTTGGGCATTGAGAAGGCCGTGGAAGCCTTTAGTGAATTTGGTCAGCTTCTAGGATGTTGTTCAATGTGAGCTAGATTTGAAACACTTGAAGTCAATTTAAAAAGTAGAGGGGAACAAGCGCATTAAATTCATTTCTATCATTGAAACATTTCATCGCATTCTTATGTCACATGTGTTGATGCGAACAGTTAGGGCATGGCACAATATATAGTACACTTGAGTGCACTCGAGTTTGGATGTATTCCTAAGGGGAAATCCAACTGTTTATCTCGTAACTACTCTCCTTCTCTGATCTGGTTGTCTTCACCTATAAATAGGAGAAATTGGTCATTGAGGAAACTTCTCCAATCCTTGGCATTCAAGTTCATTCATAGTCACTTTATTAAGAATGCCTTCATCTCTTCTTTCTAGAGATCATTAATCATAGCGATTGTAGTGCCTTAATTAGAGTCTTTGCCTTTTCCTTCATATACCCTACTTCATCAATCTAACATAATCAAGTACCCTCATCAACTCAACTTTTATCTTTTAGCATTTCTCGTTCTTTAGTCAGGATTAGTGATAGTACCGTTAACCTAGTGAATAATTATGAAAGTGATACTTTATATGCTATGGGAATGTGGGAATCCCATGATTCTCATCTCCCCTTGCTCATGATCTCCTGAACCAAAATGTTATATCCATGTCCGACGATTATGATTCAGAAAGGGAATCCGGTAATTCTCTGGAGGAAGGAGCTTCTTCACTAGACTCGTTTGAGGTCTTTCTACCAAATGAAGGTGGATAGGTGAATTGTACCGAGGTCCCTATACTCCTTACAATTTTAATCGAGGAGGAAATAAAATTTATCAAGCAGATGAGAGAACAAGACAACGACTTCATTAAACTTTTCCTAAGAACTAATGGTCGCGAACCTAGCGATGTTGAGGTGAAGTCCCACTTGGAGTTTTAGGGAAGGCTAGAGGTAATGTCTTGGATAACACCTGGAAAACATTCTAAAGACAACCATCTAGTTCAGATATGTGTGATGCTAGTGGAGCCGACCGATATAGTGAAGTATGGCTGGGTGGATGCAGAGGTGGTGGGTACCCTATATTTTATGAATATTGAGAAATTAATAGAGGCTGATGACATCGTGGTCAACGACCTTTAGGATTGGTTGGTTCTTCAAGTGGGTCAAGAGAAGAGGATATGCAGTTCCATTGACGACTGCACGTTCCCACTCTATGATTGTCTGTTCACAAGGATATGACTACTTATGCCTATCTCTGAATTTGAAGTGTCCATTCCTAAGGAATCATGAATGGTCCTTCTGGCCTTGCTATAAAGCCTTATCCCTAAAACATTATTTCTACTTCAACCACAGAGACTGACTGCTGCCCCTGGGGTCAAACAAATTGTCATTGATGCAGTCATATTATCTATGGAAGAGACTTCATAGTCTTCTATCACAATAAAGAGAGGCCGAGACGAGGATCAACATTTCCCTAGAGGAGGGTTCCCCTAAATGGAACCATATATTCGGGAATGATGATACATGGGCGATGCCCCCTTCCTGCCGATGCTTGACGTTTTCTCTTCACGACTTGCTCACACTTTTAAGGAGGCCACTACTACCGTATTGAAAGTGGACCTTTCTTTCATTCAAAACCTCTCATAAAAGAAGAAGATGAAACTAGTCTCTAAGGTTTCTTCTATGCTCTCTCTTGTTGCTTTTGGCAGAGGGGATGTTTTGGCTTCTAGAAATCCGTCTTAGGAAAGGGACACTTGGGAAAGGGAACTGTGAAATAATGAAGCAAATGTGCTTTGATTTTCAAAAGGATTTGGCTGAGTTGCAGAAGAATGTCAAGCTTTCTGACTCTTTGCAAGAGGAGGTGAAGATCCATGACTCCTCTTCTACTCTGACTGTGCAAATAACCGAACTGGAGGTTGTTTTAAGGCGGAGGAGAAACTTCATAAGGATTCCTCTGATGTTTTTATTGAGATGAACCGCAATGCAGAAGAGGACAAAAAAATATTCTACAGGAGGCTGAGGCCCGGGTCAAGGTCCTGAAAACTCTTGAAGACGAGGTTGTCGGTCTGAAGGTGACACTCTATAACTCCCTTCAACTAGCTATATAGATTGTGTACGAGGTTCACGATCATGTTATGGAACAGGCGATGAGGTTTTGTCCTCGTACTCTAGTTCCTATTGAAGAGTTAAACCCCTTCCAAGATGCTCCCCAAGGTATTACATATGATGATCTTGGCACCTCAGCTTTGGGCGCTCCAGCTTGATTGCAAAGATATTGTGTGGCAAGTTTTTATATAAAGGTCAATGAAGAGAGAGAATGAGTATACATTTAGGGGTATAAAGAGTAATTTAATTTGTCATGGGTGTTATTTTGTCCCCGTATTCTAGTTCCTGTTGAAGAGTTAAACCCCTTCCAAAATGCTCTCCAAAATACTATATATGATGATCTTGACACCTCAGCTTTGGGCGCTCTAACTTGACCGCAAAGACATTGTGTGACAAATTTTTATATAAAGGTCAATGAAGGGAGATAATAAATATACATTTAAAATATAAAAAGTAATTTAATTTGCCATGCCTGTTTAATTGTGTGCTGTATGTTAAAGAAAAATAAATGAAATGAATGCTACAAAATATTTTCTTAAAGACTTTGTAGAATGCCAAGACATGGTACACATCACTATTTTTATTATAATACTTAATGTTATATTTGTATTTTTTATTTTTAAAAATAATTATCGTTTTTAATTGAAAAATATTTATTTTTTAAAATAGTAATATAATATATCTTAAGGGTACACGAAGGATTTTGAACAATACTTATTATTTTTTAACTGAAAAATAAATGCTTTTTAAAATAATAATATAATATTTCTTAAAGCTACACAAAGGTTGAATGTTAAACTGTGTGCTGGCTGTTAAAGAAAAATAAATGAAACAAATATTGCAAAACATTTTTTTAAGGGCTTTCTAGAATGTCCAGACAGGATACACATCACTATTTCCACATAAGGCTAAATGTTATATTTGAATCTTTTTTTCTTTAAAAGTACTTTTTATTTCTTTAGTTAAAAAATAATTATTTTTTAAAATAATAATATAACATTTCTCAAGGATACACGAGAGATAGGTGTTTAACTGTTTGATGTCTGTTAAAGAAAAATAAATGAAACAAAATGCTGGCAAACGTTTTCTTAAAGGCTTTATAGATTTCTTAAATAGGGGTACACATCACTATTTCCATTGTAAGACTAAATGTTATATTTGAATTTTTCTCTCTTTAAAAATACTTATTATTTATTTAATTAGAAATAATTATTTTTCCTTGTAAATAATAATATAATATATTTTATATTTTTTATTAATACATTTTTAAAGTTTGATTGATTCAAAAGATAGAGACAAAATATGATAATGAGTTAGATAATTATATAATATTTGAGTGACACCATTGATCATATTTACGTGTTTGGTGAACATATGATAATAAAATAATAATTTTATTTTATAGTTTCATGTATTTGATAATTAATAGTATAAAACATGATATAATAAATATTAAAATTGAATTATTAAGTTACTCTTATAAAATTTTACATGATCATCGTAAATTAAGCTCTTAATTAATATGTCTACAGATTATGTCCCTTGTGAGTAAAGATCCGTTAGTTAATGTGAGTATCATAATCAATCATATTGTTACTCTATTTAATTACACTCCTCGTACAATAAAACACGATCTTTGTGTTGCTTTGGTGTTTTTTTAGTTCTTTTTACTTGGCTTTAATCAATTGGTAATTAAAATATTCAAACACGTGTTTTTATCACTTTTTATTAATTAATCAATTTTTTTCATTAATTACTTGTAAAATAAATTAATAGGATTTTACATATTTAACGTATTTTTGGTACCTATCAATTAGTTAAGCGTATTCTCGTGGTTTGTTGTTTTAACTTTCAGAGGTGTTTAAGTGTAGTTTTGATATGGTTGCCAATTTAATGGACCAACTTCCAATGTTTTTTTTTTGACAAAATTTGAATTCTAATGGTTGAGAATTCCAATTCCAAAGAAATTGTTTTTCCCAAGATGCAACAAATAACTCATTCACCCAACTCTATTAAAACACAAATCAGAAAACCTAATTTCATCTTCTTACTTAATTTCATCTTCTTCCTGCGCCGCTCCATCTCTTTTCATTCTTCTCTCTTTGTTGCTACCAATTTTGTTTCGTTGTAATCTCAACCATCTAATATTCTCATCCTAACCTGTTAATTTATTTGTTTCAGACGTTCAAGCGTAAGAATGGTGGTCGCAACCAAGACCTCTGAATCTCAACAACATCAATAACCAACAACACCCGTTATAGATCTATAAAAGAATTTCCTTCAAATGCAATTTTTAACGTTAATTTGATTCATACATATGAAAGTGACGAAGGTGAGTGATTGAAACATGTGATTGAAAGTTGAAACTGAAATGTAGTTTGGAATATCATATTTTATGTTGTATTCTTTTCGTTTTCAGGGTTGTCTTACTATTTCTCCTTTTCCAAAAAAAAAAACTTAACTTGACACCTAAAATGGGATATCTTTATCTTTAGGTTTGAGAGTTGCAGAAGGGGATTTTTGAGCTTGCATGTGACGAACAACACAATCATGATATTGTTTATTTTTTGCTGTTAGGTATGTTTTTTTTATTCAGATTTTATTTCTCAATTTTTAAAATTTTTTTAATTAAAATATGAGGTTGAGTTTTGGCTTTTTTTATTTGTTTAGTCTTGGTGAATACAAAGCTCACACATATATATTTACGATTGATTCTCCAAATAGATAGAAGCTTATTTCTTTTGCTTCCTCTTTCAATTTATTATTAATTTATTTAAATTTCAATTTCTCCCATCACATGTTTGATAAAAGAAGGAAGTATATTCTCATCAATTTTGTTGTTTATTTTGCTTACTATTATATTTATTTGTATCTAATTGAGATTTTTGTATTTATTTTCTTGATTTAATCGGTTCTTCTTTTGAAATATGTATGGATATGGAGGCTGATAATTGATTTCACACTTGAATCAGTAGGGGACCAATCAACAAATTGAATAACGGATTGATACGTAAAATGAAATTATGCTGATTGCGATTTGATTTTGTCATGTGAAAATAGGTTTAATATAGTCACAATCTGTCTTAACAAGGAATTATCAAACTTTACCTCATGGTCGATTCAAGCATTTGTTTTCGAGGTTGAAGATAGAGAGAGGATTAGTGGTTCGGCTTATGGGGGTCAACAGGACATCTGTTGCACCAATGATCTTCCTAAACTCACTGTGTGCAATGATGGACAGGGCTGTCACGGGCCTTCTCCCATGAATTCAAATTGGCCTGAAGTTTATGGCGTGGCTTTTTATCATGCCCAAGAAATAAACAGTTTGTTTTTAGTTTTAATGATTTATAATATTATTGTTTGCAGAGTTGTCTTAGCATTTTAAGTGCCAATATTCACCATGGTCATGGCTGAGTGACCATTTGCTTCTCTAATTTCACAAACAAAAATATTGCTAAAGAAGAATTGGAGACTGCCACAACAGAACCAGAGACCACTATTTTAAATCTACTTAATCGAGTCGATTTTCACATGTGATTCATCATCAAAGCCAAGTGTTAACTTATATTTTCATTCAAGTTATTTGATAGTTAACCTTATAATAGTAAATATATGTTCAATATGGTGCAGATGATTTGATTTCCCGAGCATTTGATTTCCATCTACAGCCGTAATTGAAGATTAGAAAATTGAAACCATTGAATTTTATGCTTCCACAAGGAATATCAATGGCTTTCATTGGCAGGTACTGATTATATACTAATTGTATTTTCTGACAGATAGCAAATGCAAATGTCTCATTGCAATGTTTGGAGGAACTGTTTTTGGAAGAGGAACGAGATTCTGTTTTTGGAAGAGGAACGAGATTTTGATGAACATGAGGATAGTCAAAGGGATGAGACTCTTATTCACCCTAAGTTCTAAAGTAATATGTTTTAAAGGTTCAAGAGTAGCGGGTGTTGCCGAAGTTCACTATCAATTTCAGAAGAACCATAAGCAAGGCCATAATTATCTTAGATGTATAAGATGATAAAACCAACGTTGATATGCGATCATTTTCGGGTTCTATAGAAGAATGTTTTTAACAAGATTTGATTCAAATTATGTATATGTATATTATTATTGCTTTCATATATTGTATGTCATATCAACATTGGTTTTGGCATAATATATTTTTCTACTGCAAATTATGTTGGCCTGTGTTTTAATGGAATTTATTTTACACCAAATTCTAAGTTCTTTTGAATGTAGCATTGCCTCTAGCAAACAAACTACTCTAAGTTTCGTTCAATTAACATATTTACAATCTTTTTTAAATAGAATGTCTCTTCTCCTAAAGAGAAGATAGTAACCTACAAGTTGGTGTTGATGTGCCTTCAAAATTCTAATTTATTTTGAATCGAAATTATAATTCTCATTTGTCGTGAAATTTGAATAAAATTTTTATTTTGTATTGATATTTTTTTTATTTTTAATTGCTATAATTTTAGAAACAAATATTACAATTTTTAATAAAATATTTACGATTTATTTTTTTAAATCACGACTAATTAATATATTTTTATACAATATTAAAAATAAATATTACAATTTTTTAATCAAATATTGGAGTACCATTTAATTCGATACTTTACCAATATATTTTTTGAATGGAGACATTATTATCATTTATTTTTATTATACTTATATGGAAATTATTTTGAATGGTGACATAAATATATTTAATTTTTATATATGATTTGATTCCATAAAATATTATGATCAATAAAATTTGAATTCTCTTTTAATATTATAGGTTTGATATTTTGAATGGTCACATTAATACATTTTATTTTTATGCATGATTTGATTTCAAAAATTTATGATCAATAAATTTTGAATGGAATTATAATTTAACCAATAAAATTTTCTACCGACTTCTAAATATATTTGTGTATATTTTTTGAAAGGTTACATTTATATTCTTGAAAAAAATAACGTAGTTTAAAGGATGTATTGTTAACTATAAATATATTGTTAATAAAATTAACAAAAAAGTATATTATAAATATATAAAAGATAAAGTAAATAAGAACTCTAATGTTTATCTTAAATATTTAATTTATCATTCTATAAATGTAAGAATAAATATTATTTTGTAATTATTTAGATCCTTATT